GAGGTATGGTAATTATTATTATCTACACTATATTTTCAATACAAAATATGAACATCAAGTACAGTTCTTTTCAATTGAATAAATAAAGAAAAGAATTTTGAATCAAAATATTTGATTTATTAGCAAAAATGTTGATCATTGTTGTTAACAATATGATCTTTAGAGATAGTGAAAAGTATGAAAAATATATCACAGTAAAATCTATGAGACAAATAAAAGAATTTTTGTTGATTATGAAACAATGATTTGTAAGAAAGATAATATATTATATTCATTATTAATAAAATCATCAAAAATGAATTTTATATAAAGAAAACATTTAGAATAGCTCAGTTAAAATTTCATATAAATTTGGGAATAATTAAAAGATTAATTTTGATTTTTCTTTTAAGGTAATCATATAACACAATCATGGTATAAAGAAATTCTACAGATTATAATTTTGATCTACCATGTTCTATAATGCAGCTCATTTTACACAAATTGTTTTAGAAAGATACAAAAATATTAGTTGTTGAAAATATATTTAATAAACAAAATAAAAATATGTATATTGTGGCTCAATATAGTTCATTAGACAATTACCGTAAAGCATATACTACAAATGTTTTTCATCCTAAATATTAACTAATTCAATAAATCATTTATATCTTTTTTTTTTATTTGCTTTTCTTCCTAAATTTAATCTTGCGCAATTAAAATATGTATCAATCTTTACAATAATAATATTTTAGCAATCAATTTCCATTAGTAATGGACAGTTGTAAAACTAAAATTTACTTATGTAAATACAGAGAAAAATATAAGAATGACTTCATCGATAGTATAAAATGGCATTTCATTTCCATTAGATAAATTAGCTACTAAAGTGTATTTTTATATTTTGTATTATATAGTCAATCTTTATTCTCTAACGGTCTAGATTAGTTTCATAAGTAGCTATAATTTATCACGACTATGTCATACATACATAAACACGTATATAATATACATAAGTATCATGTAGAAGTCAAGGACATATACAAATTGATATTTTCTTGTATATGTTCGAACTCTTAGATAGGACTAAAATTATGATTAATACCAATTGTAAGTAAAAAATTTGAATAAATGTGTTGTATTAATGATATTATTTAGTTTGAAAATATATGACCAATATTATGTAGTAATATAACGTATCTGTTCTATTGTTTCATTTTATATTAATATTGAATCATATTTAATAATTCATTAAATTATCTTTCAAATTCTGTTTGCTGTGGAAGAGGTAAATTAAGATAAATATGTGAAACTAGTATCTCATCTTGAAATTTACTCAATATTATAATGTAATAATTATCGTTAAAATACATGTGTAATCTCTTCTGAACTATTTTTTAATTCTTTTGTCAATGAAACATCTTGTTTTTTTCATTTTTATCTAAATACATTGATATATTTATCTATTCATTTTCCTTTCCTTTTATTCCTATGTCTAAGTTATAGTTGATGTGAGAGTTGATACAAAAAATAATATCCTTGCACATTTATATGAGCACCACTAAGCAATAGTGCGTGTAGTGGTGTAAACATTATATATCATAGCTAGTAGCAATGCTATATCTTCAGTTTATGAGTGTGAATGAGTGGATGCCGATATTGATAGAAATACAGACTTTTAATCACACCCACACTCAAAACAGTTAAACTTTCACCTGTATTTCAAAGTTGAATATGAATGATATTGTATATTGTCAATAAATCTGATGAGCTCGTATGACATCAGAGTGGCTAATAGCAGTGGGATAATCAACGTAGTTACAGATCAATTTATTGCTTCAACTTGAAAATTGAAAGTTCATGGATTAAGCAGCAGAGTTTTTGTACTGAACGTTTAGCTTTATTTAGAATTAAATGATTGAATAGTAACTGATGTAAAAATTGAAGTGCACATGCTAACTTATAAATATTTTAAATCATGCATATCTAGTTTTTTCAAGTATCGGAACATAACTCTACAACGAAAAAGTATTTCTATGTGTTTATGTATGCGAATTTCAAGTCATCATAACCAGCTAGTAATAATAAATTCACTTACGAGGGAACCACCCGAGGTGGTACATCCAGTTTTCATTCATTCATATCTCGTTTAGTTAAGTATATTGTGATGGTAAAAACCCTAGAGGGGATTTTCCCCAATCGCATTCCTTCAGTAGTTATTCTCATTTTACTAGATTTTCGACCCATTATTAGGTATATACCTCAAGAAATAAACTTTGGAGTTTTGAGCTGAAATTTTGCCCATATATAGGTCCTATAGTTATTAGAACATCCTGAAAGTTTCAGCCAAAAAGAATGTTCCTTTCTTGAGATATTCAATTTTCAAGTCAACTCCATGTTCATGACCTATATATAGCAAGCGACTATTTTTTGAAAATTGAATATCTTAAAAAAGGAACATTCTTTTTGGCTGAAACTTTCAGGATGTTCTAATAACCATTGGACCTATATATAGGCAAAATTTCAGCTCAAAACTCCAAAGTTTATTTCTTGAGGTATATACTTAATAATGAGTCGAAAATCCAGTAAAATGAGAATAACTACTGAAGGAATGCGATTGGGGAAAATCCCCTCTAGGGTTTTTACTATCTCAATATACTTAACTAAACGAGATATGAATGAATGAAAACTGGATGTACCACCTCAGGTGGTTCCCTCGTTAGAGACACTTTCCAATATGATATACAAGTGCCTACTAACGCATATATGCGCATTTAAGCGGATGAGAGCAGCATGAAAAAAATGTATGATAAAAGTATGCTTTACATAAAAAGTGAGATAAATACATGTGATATCAGCTTTTCTATCATCAGAAAAAGACAATGATTTTTAAATTCAGACAAAGTTTATTTGCATCAAAATAAATATATTTTTTATTTATTTTTCTAAATAGTTAGCTTTTAGTAAGATTTTTTTCATGATCATTGAAACAAAATATAATATTATAGCCGATGTTCCTAAAGCGAACGCATTTTATATAGGTGTTGATTGTGATTGTTACAGCATTGTCATTTCACATCGTAAAGTTTTTATTTTTCTATCACGGGAAAGAACATAAAATTCTGTATAACCTGATATAACGAAACAAGTAACGCTCGTTCGAGGACTCGCTCAGCTCTTTTTCATAGAAACCATTTTTTTGAACTATCAGCAAATTATTTATTTATATAATTTTAAAAAGCAAAACAAGCACATTCCTGCTGTGTCTTTCTGTTAAGTTCATCTAAGTCTTTGAATTCAGCATTTTGAGCAAGCGAATGTCGAAAGGTCCAAGAATATTCCATCTTCCGCTCTCTTCACTCTATTGAGTGTTACAACATATTAATGGTACTTGCATTGTTTCAGGTGGAATTTGATGACCGACAACGATTTTTTCATCGTAAGTCCTTACGCCTTGTAGGTAGTTATTGCGAAAGCAGGCACAGTTGGTAATTGCATTTTTGTCATTTTAATTGTTTCTGAGACTTTTTTCTCACCTTGCACACGTTCAGATAGTGGGCCAAAGAGTGGCTTGATGCGAACACTGAATTGTTTTTTATTAATGAAATAGGGATTAGTTTAGGAGGAAGACCATCGAAGTTTGTTTTCCACTTGCGATGTATTGGTTTCTACAAGCATACACAATGGTTTTCGTACGTAGATTGTATTTGAGGAAAATACGTCACTTTTTAGTTTCAAGCTATCTAAATTCTCTTGATCATCGTATATCAGTTCTTGAAGAATCTCTTAAATAACTTTTGAAACTCCGAGTTTACAGACGATATTATCAGTAAGAAGTACAGGCATATCTGGCACTACATGTAAAAGACCAGGAAGGAGCTCAGTGATGTTGTTAGATAAATGGTTTCACTTGGAGTTTCTCCTTAGAATAAAGTTTATCAATTATTATGCCATGGGACACCGACCAATATATTTCTATTTATAATGCCTATTTACACCTTTAAGTATTGTCGATATTATAGAGCTAAAGACTTTCTTCAAAAGACTGCCTTTTGTCTTCAAAATGATTCTCAAAAAAATTCTAATAAACTAACGGTAGATTCGTGTCCCTAGATCCCGATTACCCTTCTGGCAATCCTTATAGAAAAAAATCCTTTTATATCTTTATCTAAGTTTTGGACCAATCAGTGAAGTGCAGATATACAAGCAAGCAAGAAAGTATACAATTTATTTTTGTTAGGCTCTTCTCTACGAGAAAGAGAATAAATAAACAACAGTTTCACATGAATACATAAGTGATGTGCTTCTTATGGCATTAGAGAATAAACAAACAACGGTTTCACATGAATAAATAAGTGATGTGCTTCTTATCATATTAGAGAATAAAAATAGCAACAATTTCATTTGAATACATAAGCGATTCCATGTCAACCGATCTAACGTTAGATCTGATTGGATCTGGCAGAATCCGATAGGATTCCTGGTGATGGATTTGCAGAGGATTCCGTTGGTAAGATTTTCAGTCACTTGCTGCAAATTTTAAGAGCGGTGCTTTTAGCTATATTGTATTATGACCTTATATGGTCACCTATCGGATCCGTCTAGATCCATCTGTTCGAAACTACGAAATCCGATGGGATCCGAACACGACGGAATCCGAAGTGATTCCTTCACCAGGAATCCTATAGAATTTTGTCGGATTGTCGGATTTCGATAGAATCCGGCATACGATCCGAGTATGGGATTGGTGGGTCTGGGATGTTCTTTTTATCACATTAGAGAATAAAAATAGCAACAGTTTCACATGAATACATAAGTGATGTGCGTCTTATTGCATTTTGACGAAGAGAAACTAATCGTAACTGTGAATTGATAAACGTTGGTTGTAGCCTGGGATTACTTGTCAGTTTACAGATTCATCTATATAAGTGTGTGTATTAATATAGAAATTTTCGAAGGAAGAGGCATTCATAAATTTTCTTCTCGCGTATATTGTTAGTAAAATACGGTAAAAGCTCACAATGTCAGTTATATATATTATGGAACAAATAATAATTTATGGCGGTATATTGCTCGTCGCAATGGGTGTTTTCGGTAATGGTATGAATATTTTTGTGTTTTCGAGTGTCCGTACATATCGTACAACTCCTACTGCATTTTATTTTACTGTGGAAGCAATATTTAACATTATTTCCATAGCGGTTAATCTGATACCTCGTATGGTTAGTTTTGCGTTTGGAGTTGATTTAGCTCTTGTATCAGTTATATGGTGTAAATTACGGCAGGTTATTCTTAGTATATCCATGACAATGCCTATCATGTGCACATGTTTATCTACAATCGATCAATTTTTTGTTACATCTCCTAGGGCATCACTACGGCGTTTTAGTGAAAAACAACTGGCTCATCGAATCGTATTCGTTATTTTTATGATCTTCATTCTTCATTGTATTCCCATTTATTTACTCTATTATATTAACCCAATAGCCAATTTGTGTGGTTCTGAAAGTGTGGTATTTACGGTTTATTATATTTTGTTTTTTATTGTGATTGATGCTGCTATTCCAGTATTGATAATGACAATATTTGGATATCTGGCGTACCGTAATATTCGTCGAACAGTGGCTCTTGCTGAGCAACATGCTGATCGACAGTTAATAAAAATGGTTTTAATACAAGTGGCAGTTGTTCTTATTTGTCTTATTCCTGTTGGTATTTTTTATATATATTATTTGATTACATCTGGAGTTGTTAAAAGTCCCAATCGACTAGTAATAGAATATTCTGCGTCATTGTTGATCACGTTTGTTCCATGTTTCTATACCACTGTATGTATATACTTTATTAAAAAATATGATATATTTTCGCATTTGTTTTTAGGGAAGTTTTTACTTGTTCTTGATTTCATCCAGTCGTTTTCGTCGAACAGTAAAAGCGCAATTATTTTGGTGGCAAAGAACAAATCAAATTCAACCTTCTCAAACGTGATGGTATGAATATCAATATTAAAAGGCAATCATATATTTAACTGGAACTCTCGTTTCAATTTCTTTTATTTGATGTTTATTGTAAAATACAAGCTTTAGATAGTCATCAATGTTGTAACGTCGATGTAAAATTAAATAAATATTTTATCAAAAAGATTTAAAGAATACATATGTTTTAATTATGAAAGTATACATCTTGTAGTATAATTAAACTTGTATGAAAAAAGAGAAATAATAAATAAATTTATTTTGAAGATTATGGTAATGTCAATTGGTTACAGATGTTGATTTCCACTTTTTCCATCTTTCTATCATAGTTTGCGTTTATTTCCAAGTTTGATATTGGAATCAAAGATGTTATCCTCATTGTTGAAGATGATCGCATGAATAAATAATAGTACAAGTAATGTTAAGACCATTTTTCGCTCTAAATATTTTCCAAAAAGACTTCGATATTCGTAATCAGCATTAAATTCTGAGTCACACAAGATGCTTTTTGGAAAAAGACGACTTTTATTTTTCACGGTTTACTGAACACCTCTAGAGGAGCCCAGGATCATGGAATTGTTTTCCAAATTTATTAAACTCAGCAGATGTAAAGTAATAAGGGGTACATATGCTGCATTCGATATGTCTTCAGTATCACACCTGTGAAAAACCATGAAAAAGCCATATACCTTAATAATGTGTCTGTGTGATACTCGTTTGTTCTCTGTAGATTCAACGTTATTTTTATGTACGCGAAAAGCGAAGTTCACAATCGATTGATTTTGATCAATCTGTCTAAAAAAACTTCATCCTTGAGCGCACTAAAGAACTGCCCCTTAAGTTCTGCGGATGTCCTCTCTTTAATGTACTCGAAAAGTGAATACATTACTAGAATCGATCAGTGTGTTCGATCGGTCGTTTACACGATATCTTGCACAAGGAGAGCAAGATTTTGATGAAATTTTCTACACAGTTTAGACTCATAAAGATCTAGGTCAAGTTCGAAGTTGAGCTTAATTGGACGAGTCATTCCCAAGTTATTACAAAAATACTGATATTTCCCTATGATTTCCATATATACACTTTTTGCAGTACACATAACTCTCGGATACAATCCGAAGTTTCCACATTTATTTGGATATAAAATTGGAAATAAAGGTTCATTCAGTTTAGTCAATAAGGAACTAACAGTTGTAAGAGTACAATCTGGCGCTTGGATTGATGCATTACAATTCTGCTTTTCAGCAACTGACTGTACACAACAATTTGGTGGTACGATAAATGGTCAATGGTCAGCTGAATTTAATTTAAATATTATAGGCAACTCACAGTTTTATAAGGTGTCGGGATTAAATGGAGCATTCATTGAGAAATATAATCCAAATTGGACTGTTAATACAATGAGTTCAATTACAGTATTATATAAGAAAGTCTGAAAAAAATTCATTAAGATTTTTAAAATATTTATAAAATATAGTTTAATTTCTTGTAATTTATATTGTCAACATTAAATTCTACTATTTTTCGCATATTATTTTATTAATAAAGGTTTTATTAAATAGATAAAACTAACTATTAAAAAAAATATATTTTGAAACTTCATCGATTTTCTATTGGTCGTAAGGACGAGACTCAAGTAAGAGAAAAAGTAATTTTACGGAAATTGTTTTCGAACAACATGACTTTTTGTATTGGCAAAATTCAAATTACCAAAGTCGAAGTTAAGTTAGTTTGATAAAACTTGCGGCAGTAACTTGTTTATATTTTATCCACATAAATGTTAAATTGCTTTTATAGAGCCTTTATTGTGTCCATAAAAAATTCTACCGTTTTTTAGCCATTATAGAGCTACAGCGAAGTGCAAAAATAATTACCGATAGACTTTTCACAGTTCTTCTCACACAAGTATCAGATACTATGATTTCTTAATATTGTTATACTTCCCGGATACTGTACTACATAAATATATTAATCATTAAAACTTGCATTCTCTATGAGTTTAAGTAAATGAAATTATTGACTATACTATCTTCATTATCCTGTATTTAAACAAAAGAGAATATTTTGTTTTTAAATTAATCAATAAGAATAACAAATATCAATAGTGTAAAACAGGCTTTTAAATTGTTTGTATATTTCATTGAAAACGATTAGAAAAAGTTGTGTTATAAAATTAAAGAGAAAATAATTGTCTTCCTTACGATTAGTAGCAAATCCATATGCTTTTTAAATTATTTCCATGGGTACGAAAAATAATCGAAAGAATTGTAATAAATTACTTGATTGTTTTATTTACTTGATAATGTTTGAGAAGTTCAAGTTATAATCATATATGGTTGATAAATATGCAACAATTAGATGTAATTATATGTATTGTATAAGCAATTTTATCTTTGAGATTAAAAAAAATGTATGATGCAACATTTTACGAAGAGAGCTTAATTTACTATTAGATATGTTTTCAATTAACAGCAATTAATACAAGTTAAAATGAAACAAAACAGGAAAAAAATATTATTCTTTTAGAAACATACTTAAATACAAAACGACTTATACAACCATCAAGGATGTGAATGAGTACGTGTAGATGTGAGCACCTTCTCTTTTGCCCCACATTCACACCCACACCACCCACCTACACCCACCCTCAAGAAATTTTCATTCGAGAAATTCGATCTTTTTAAAGACATGTATTCAAATTTAATATTCTTTACATCATTAATACGATTATATGTAGAATTGCCTGTAATGAAATTAAATATTCTATCAGACTTTTTTAAATTATTTTTTAATAATAAGAACAACTATCAAAATGATTTCCCTTCTCAAAAATAAATTAGACAATATCATCAAAAATCTCTTTCTACTACGTGAAATATTCGAAGATATAATTTATTTGAATTACAAATAGTTATCGTATATCTTTACCATTTAGTAGCATATTACGATCTTATGTCAGTTATAATTCATATCGTCAATTAACAGAACGTCGATCCTTTTATAATATTTCTGTTTTCTGAATTAGAAAATCTCATGAGACGAATATCATCAAATAATCTATTTATTTATTAAGGTCATATTAGAGCAAATTTTTTTTTTGAGGAGGTTTTATTACTATTTTAAGAAAATACTTTATGATTATGATGCTTTTTCAAACAAATTAACAGAGTCAGACAGTATAAAACATATCGAATCAAATCTTCGCAATATTTAATATGCATTACTTCCTCGCATTCTGTGACGTCAAGAAACAAAACACATATAATAGATGGAAGAAAAGTGCACTTTTTTCATTTTTAGTAGGTAAAAAACTATTTCAAACGACTATATTTTATAATTTTTGCTCTATCAATAAGATACTTGGTAAGTATTGTTATAAACATTAAGAAAGAAATATTTATTACTACCGGATAGTTCAAGACGATTTCTAGCGAATATATTTATATTTTAGAACTGAAAATTTATCTTACTTTGAAGATTCATATAACTCTAATATTCGGTAAACTCAAAGGACTTAAGAAATATGATAGAATGAAATAAGTAGAAGAATGAAGATGAAGTTTTAAATGAAAAGTAATAAATATATATATGGATGTAAATAGAAAGATAATGACTCGTTTGCTTTCGTCCATTCAAAATGTACTTTATATATTTAGATTTTTCAAGCATTCTGAAAAACAGAGTGTACATATAGCTATAGAAAATATACTACGCATTTGACTTCTGCTTAGTATATTTACTGTCGCAAATATCGAGGATAAAAGAACAGATATTAGAATCCATTCAATAAAACGAAAAAAAAAATATCATATAGAGAACGATTTTGATTAGTTTTGAAAATGTTTATATCATCTCTTTCAGCAGTACACAAATATTACTTAGTGAAAATATTTTGCAAATAGACAGACATACAATATAGCATCATGGTCGCATATTACTCAAATGTATACACTTTATGCGGTTATTCCACTCTGCTTTTTGTATTTGTATTTTTCGTTGTGCAGAATGTTGTATCAGTGTAAGAGTTCAAAAATAATTCCTTATTTTTTAATTATCAATATATTCAACAATATTTACTTTAAAAACAAGAATTTTTATCGAATCAATGTTTACTGGAGATTTAAAAGTTTCCATAGACAGAATTTTTTTTCCTGAACATGTTACATAAATTCAGAAAGAAACCTGTACGTGCTGATTTGTACTGAAATCTTTATATTGTTTGTTGATCAAACCATCAATCCATTTAAAAATGCAATCAGAACATGATGTTGTTTCTTTAGTCAGCCTACAATAAATAAAAAGTTCTATTAGTTTATTATCAACTCTATAACAATAAAACAAGTTAATGAATTTTACATAGTAAACAAATTACTTAAGATGGTCCAAAAGTTCTGGCCTTCTCTGAGTTCCAATATATTTGTCTACTGTCTTGCATTAATCTATTGCAAAAATAACTGGAGTTCAACAAAGACACTTTCAATTGATAAGCATTAAAATTCGCTGTTTTTATACCTTTTCTAATTATAGATAATATGATGATATATTTTTGCAAAAGTAACTACACATCTTAATGGAGATATTGTTCTATTCGAGATATCTTTGCAATAGATAAATATGAGAACTAATCATTGATCAGTTCTAGATCATTTTTAACGATGATTCGTTTATGTTAGTAAAATAAAAAGAGTTGAAGAAAAAATAATGAGATAAAAGAATGACTATATGTTCCATAAGAGTATTGGTACAATAAAGATAGATTTTGTACATTACATATTAAAGTTTAACGAAAGTTCAAGAAAAAGAAAAAAAACTACACCCATCTTAAGGATATAAAATGTTTAAGGACAAGATTTTTAGCTACACATTGTTGAATTTAAACTGTAAATTAATATAAAATGAAACTATATGGCTAAAAAAATCATATAATAATGATAATTCATCTACTCTAATTCATTTATCTACAAAAACAAATCTATTTTGTTTTAAGATGTATTTTAAAAATTAGATACCTTGTTTCCATACTCCGCATTGAATGACCAACTGATAATACGAAGAAAAATCGAATATAAAGGATTACGCTGTCAAAATATAAATCGCAAACAACTGTGTTTTTTTAAGTACGATGAAAGTAAGAACTACAGAGTATGTGAAAAATACTTGAGAATATTGGAACGTAACTGAAGCTAATCTCATGTGATTTAGTGAAATATTAAGCATAAAAAAGGAAGTAATGTAACTGCTATTAAAAAAAGAATGACAAGGCATAAATGCTTCATATTGCTATAAAAGAAGTAGAAAACTACAAATCATATTTATATGTGCACATCTACATAATAAATAATAAGAAAGAATATCATTAATAAACAATGTTGTCACCATTCATAACACAATGCGAAAATAATATTGAAATATACATAAATGATTTCATTTTTATGATCGTTATAATGATAATAAATCGTGACTAAAACATTCAAATGAAGACATTCCATGTAACTCATGTAAACTTATTTAAACAACAAAAAAACGCTACTATTAATGAAAAATATCTAAGAGAAATATTCATGTAATATTTTCTTCTTATTCATAAAGTCTAGGTAACTTAAAATAGATTCAAACAGTTACCTTCTACAAATATGCGAAGTTTCTAGTATAGACTCACAAACAGATCCACTACATAAAAGATGCTAAATGATTCTCTATGATACTATAACAAATGCACAAAATAAATCGAACATGTATTTTAAATTATTCGAAAATATTAAAGATTTTGTATATTGCTTACTGAATAACTTATATAGAAAAACATTTCTTTTAAACATCATGACAAAATATAATTGATTCTAATATTCGTACTAAACAAATGCTATAAAGTTTTTCCTAATTATTTCTTATTTAGAAATAGCATTATACTTTCATAGTTTAAAAGATACCGTATTATCGAAGTTATAAATTATTATAGTAGATAAGTACGACATAGTACATATATTTAGAAAAATAAGTATAATTGTATTTTGAAGCTTTTGAGAAAACTCACAATCATTTTGATATGTAATTATAAAACTCAACATAGAAGAGATCGTAATCTTTATTGTCAATGAAGTTGATTATCTGTTTTATATGTGTAATTTAGTGAAAAAACGTTGAAATATATCAGCAAATGAAATATTTCGTAATACAAATAGAGATCTACGTATTAGTATGCTGAGATTCAAATACTACTGCTTATTTGAGTTAGTCAAAAACGGTTACGGCCATACCACGTTGAATACACCAGTTCTCGTCCGATCACTGAAGTTAAGCAACGTCGGGCTCGGTTAGTACTTGGATGGGTGACCGCCTGGGAATACCGAGTGTCGTAACCTTTTTTTTCTTTTTTTCCTCTATCGCTCTCAATCAAGTGACGCTGGTCTTCTATTTTACAAAACTATGAATTAAATTAAAATACTATATAATTATAAAATATTCGTTAATAAGACATGAATGATGACTTATATTTATTATGAGTGTCAACTGGTACAGTGATAACTTGATATTATCTTTTGTTTCGTTTAAATGTCTTTGATATATGTATTAATCACAGTTGGATTATCAATCCTTAATCGAAACAAACTATTCAGTTCACGTTATTTTTTTATCATAAGCACGTACTGATAACAGACCGTCTGAACATATAATACAATAAACAATGAAACAGTGATATTCTATCATATTGTAAATATCAAGCAACATTTTATCAAAATGAAATGTGATACTGTTGTTATATATAAAATTATGAATTTATATCGATGATTAGATTAAATTCATACAAATACACAAGTAAAAGAGCTGTACAACAACATTATGAAAAGTAAAAGAAGAGAACACTTGAGAAAACTTCAAAACAGAAAAAGAAAAGATTTGTCAATATTTCGTAAGTATCAACTACAGTATACATATATAGATCTGTCACTGAGAAATAATAAAAACAAAAATTTAATCATACGACATTAAAAATTTTCTTGTTTACTTTCGTCGATATAATGAAAATTTGCCTGAGCGAATTGTGGATGAAGAATATTGTCCGGAATTAATATATTGAGAATTAGGTGTAGCTAAATGTTTATTGGAGCCTAACTCGAGTGAGATTGTGTTCGCCTTGTTGCTGTTCGGTCGATCATCTATAACAATAGAAAAAATAAATAAACTATTAATTCTGAAAAACCAATTCAAAAAGTTTTAAAGCATTAAATAAGCAAAGCGCAAGTGTAAGCGTATATAAAAAAAATCATCATGAAAAGAAGCGTGTCACAAAAGCAATCATCAATCCGGCGAAAAGCGGACATAGATGGTGAATCACACGACATACGGCAACGGCTGTTCTGGTGTTAAACCAACATAGCGTCCGACATCACCTGGTCTACTCCTATTTCTTGTAGATATTCGATATTCTGATAAATTCATTGATGCATTAACATCACCAAAACGTATTGGTCGTTGATGATTTGGATGAGATATTAATGGGACCATATCATCACCCAAATTTCCAGTACCATGTGTAGGTCGTTCAAGTGGTAGTATACCACCAAAATTACGACGTGGTGATGGTAATGCTGTTAATTGTTGTTGTTGAAGTGGTTCATCTGAATATTTTAATGATGTCTGTGATGTACCTTTGGGATCCTCTCGTTTTTCTACATTGGAAACAACAATTGAAACGATATACATATATATAAATCAACATAATTTCTACTATCGATTACTTCTCGTTTACTTTGTTATCATGCAAAATAAAAAAAAATAAAAATAAGAAAACAACAAATATCATATCTATATATACATCTAAACACAAAAGAATACTTCTAAAAATCAAACTGACTATGATTATTATTTTCATAGATCGTATATTCTCTCTGTATTATATGATAAAATTGTTAAACTTTCTTTAGAAAGATAAAGAAATATTTTCTTATATTTTTTTACCTGGTCTTTGTAGTGAACCTCCTGTAGGAGATTCACGTTCGTGACGAAGTGCAACAATTTCCATTACAATAAGACCAATTACAAGAAGGCTCATATAGATATACCAAACAACCCAAACTAGTAATGGTAATACAGCAAGAAAAAAACCTAATGATATATTTACTAATCCAAGTGCTAATACAATTGAACCTACAATACGATGAACAATACGCCAAGCACCTTCACCAGTCCATGTATCTTGATGAAATCCTTCTTGACTAAGTTTATGACTTGATTCACTAAGACGTTCTCTATTATCTGCACGTCGCTTGAGAAACATAGCACCATATTTTAATAAAAAGTTTTCTACAATAGATTTCAATTTTTATTCTATATTGAATTCGTTCTGTTGACAATAAAGATAGATCCTTATTATTGATTTTCTTTTATTCAATCATATATGTATACATGTCAATATTCTTTCTTGTAATAAATCGTCTATATTCATATTTTAATTAAAACTATACAAATAAAACAATGTCGATTGATTTTCTTAAGTGTATTATTATTTAAGTTGAATATATATGATTACTTTTATTTAATGAATTAATTGAATAACCTTTAAATATTGAAATATTTTCATAATTAATATTAAAATATATCTACTAGTATGGAATTTATAATTTATTTCTAATGTCATTCAAATGTTGAATCTTAATGAATATCGAAGATAATCAATTTGTACATGTATTAATTGCCGATGTCTATCTAAAATATTATGTTAAGTATAGATTAAGATGTTTCGAATGAAATTCAATACTTTTCCACTATTATCATTTTATCTATAATTCTCTTGTTTTGCTTTTATTGTTCAACATATTTTATAAATCTCTTTTTAAACATAAAACTCTCAAATGATATAAGTATTTTTTATTTTATTGTTGAGAACAAAAAAAATCTTCCCATAGCCACATGTATTCATGGCAAACTAGTATGAAAATATTTAAAAAATACACTTTAGAATTTTGGTTCCTCATACAACTCAATTATTTAGTTAAGTGCCTACCAACTTCAAATAATTATAATCTAATAATAAACATATTTTATTATCCATTCGATCATTTCTTATATTAGTCTAATGATTGTTTTGCTTAAGAAATGCCACATTAAAATGTCACTATGAGTCAAAAAACAGTGAAAACAATATTTATATTCTCAACTCACTTTTCTTTCGCTCAACTTTGAAAAGATCCCAACGAAAAACAAAATAAGAACAAAACGAAAATTGTCTGAAATTAAAAATATCTCAAGAAAAGTTCCAATTCATTTGTTTGAAATTAAAATGAAGAAAGTTTTTATTTTAAATGGTTCAATAAAATCTCATACAGAAATCATAAAATATTTACTTTAATTTCTTTGAAAAATAAAACGAATTTTTCTCTAACGAGGGAACATCCCCAAGTGAAGTATCGCTTCGGAGTTCGGATCCGGTGCATAATGTAGACCACAGTGAAGTATGAAAAACCCCAAAAGGATAAGGGCCCATAGGCCTTCTGTCCCGAGTTATAGGCAATATACTGAATTTTTAGCCTATGGGAGGGTATGTAGAAATAAATCGAATGATGGTATTTCGACCTGAGATTTTGCCTACAGAGAGGCCTATGTCTGACTAGAATACCCTGAAAATTTCAGCTCAAAAGAATGTTTCTTTCTCGAGGTATTAAAGTCTCAAAAAACAGAAAATCCTAGTATGTTTCGTGGGATACACATGATTTTTTGGGACTTTAATATCTTGAGAAAGAAACATTCTTTTGAGCTGAAATTTTCAGGGTATTCTAGTCACATATAGGCCTCTCTGTGGGCAAAATCTCAGGTCAAAATACTGTCATTCGATTTATCTCTACATACCCTCCCATAGGCTAAAATTTCAGTATATTGCCCATAACTCGGGACAGAAGGCCTATGGGCCCTTATCCTTTTGGGATTTTTCATACTTCACTGGGGTCTACATTATGCACCGGATCCGAACTCCGAAGCGATACTTCACTTGGGGATGTTCCCTCGTAAGTTCTATTAAAAGAAATCAAATGAAGAAATTTGTATTATTTATAAAAAATTTATTGATTTTTTCATTTTATGTCAAATCTTTGGCTCATTTTTCTTTAGAAATTATTATTTTTTACATTTAAACGAAAATGTTCATTGTTTTATTTTAATATTTCAAATCAAATTTGTTTTCATTGATTCCATTTTGGCAAATCATTTTTCAATTTAATTTTTATTAACAAACTTTTTCCAAAATCAAACAGAATAAAATTGGAAAATAATAAAAATTTGTTAATTTGTTAGAGAATAACTCTTTTCAACGTTTGTTTTGTTCAACAGAATTCATTTCATTTCAATTTTGATTATTAATTTATCATTAAATATTTCTTTTCTCTGTTCAATTTTGAATAATTCTGAAATTTTCTTAAATCCAAAAAAAAACGAAAACATTCAAATATAATTTTATCGAACGCAAAATCGTCTTTTCAAAGAATTCTTATTTCAATTTTCATGAAAAGAAACCAAAAAGATTTTTCTTCGTCATTTGCTTATCAAAAATTTATTTGATTTTCGGGTGTGGATGTGGATGTGGGTGGATTGCAGCTCTGTGGGCATTATTATCGAGATTGAACAAGAGCCACACTCACCCCACACCCACACTCAAATGATAATAATAAAAAATGCTAAACAACAAGTATAAGATGAATAAGAAGCACAATGTGTACAATTAAATTTTGTTGATTTAACTGGAAGTGAAAAATCACAACAATTTAATCGATCAAAAAGAAAAAATGATCGGTTTGTATTAAGAGTTTTTTTCATAATAATATTGTAGTATATGTAAGAAAATATTTTCGATAAAATTATTGTATTGTCAAAATGACTAAAAAGTATGATTTCGCTATGAATGCATATTCATAATTCTTGGAGTGAGTATTTCGAAAAACAGATTTCAAGGACAACTACTTGTTTCGTTAGCATCCTTCAAGAGCTACTATTGAGCTCTACAATACAAAAAAATTGAATTTTTAAATTACACATTGTGAAACAGAGAGAGCGAGTAAAAGGAAGACTTCGGCATAACCTGAATATTTTTGTTACCGCGTGCAGAACGAACCGTTTGACTTGGTCTATTTATATTTAATAGTCTTTCAGTGATATGCGAGATCTATACACTACATGAATGATTTCTTTCCCAAATGCAGGAAAGTATTCATATTCATCCATCCTTATCTACTCTTCGAAATGTAATCGATACTCTATCTCGTCAACAAGATCATATATTATATCGTGATTCAAGTTTAATATATTTATTAAAAAATAGTCTTGATGGTGATGCTAAAACATACATGTTTGCAACAATTAGTCCATTATCAACTGTTATTGATGAGACAATAAACACATTAAGATATGCAGGGCTTGCTACAAAAATAACTAATGTACCTCAAATAAAAACTCCACATTTAAGACATGAAATAGATGAATTACGTGAAGAAAATGCTCGTCTCAAACAAGAATTATTTCTTGTTAAATCAACGCATTCAACTACATCAATAAATAGTAAAACATCATTAACAAGTTTTATAGTGGACCGTCAATATCACCAGATGAACAAATTGATGATGATGAAAAACTTAATATTATCGATGAAAAAGTTTGTTTATTGATTAAAGTTATCTTTATATAAAGATAAATAGTTATATATTTATTTTTAGATTTTAGTTCAAATTGAAAATCAATGTCATCGACCACAAAACGACAAAGATTATCTGAACAACCACTGTATGAAATTGATTACATCTTATATTTTATCTAATTCACTTTTTTTTCTATAGCAAAAATACACAAGAGTGATGATACAATGTTACATCAACGATTAGGAACAATTCTTAGTTATGTTACAAGTAATTATTTAGTGAGTCAAACGTTCTTCTTTTTGATTTCGATGACATATTGTTTTATATGTTGTAAATTACAAATGATAATGGTATTCTGGTTTTTTCAAATGAACAAAATATAAATGTAAGAATGAGTTCATCATCATGGATGAGTGCAGTAGAAAAAGTTGATCAAAATTTTGATACTAATTCTATGACACAAAAAGAAGTTGGCAGAGGATAAAATAATTGGGTGAGATTTTGTTTTGTTTCTTTATTTTATTTAGATTGTTGTTACATTGAATATGTTTGTTAATAATCAAGAATGATTTGTCTTTATCCAGATTGAATATATACGATTCTGTAGTACCTAATGACTAATTTTCCTCTTCATCTATATGATTCATATTCTATTTTTTCTGTAATATGTAATATATAATATTTGTGTTTTACAATGAGTTTAATAAAGAAACACGGTTTTTATACTAGAAGTGACATCAAAATCAACTGATCAGTGCTACTCATTATTAATCTACAAAGTAGCTGTTCAGACCAGCAGTTGCAAAATTCTTACTCAGCAGAATTTTATTTTTCATATATATATAAATGTATTCAAGTCTATCGATTGAATTAAAATTGTGAGTGAATATTAGAATTCTATTACAAGACAAACAAGTTCAACAATCATTTATTTTTTTCAGAAAAAACCATACAGTGAAGCTTTCGACACCATGCATAGGATCAATTTCAATACTAAAGTTGTATGAAACAAAATTTTTACATATATAGGAAGAAACAATTAATACTTTTCTTTTTCTATTCTTTTCTTAAATATTGCACAACGATGACGTCACTTCTCCCCTTCGTAGTGTAATGTTTAAGAAAATACTAGAAAAGAATAGAAAAGAAAAAAACAATTGCTTCTTCGTATATATGTAAAAAATTTTTTTCATAAAACTTTAGTGTTGAAAATGATCCTATGGAAGGTGTCGAAAGCTTTACTGTATTGTTTTTTTCTGAAAAAAATAAATTATTGATAAACTTGTTTGTCTTGTTATATCATTATTCAATTATATTTCATCAAATAATGTTAATACATTAATGTTGTTATATTTGTATTGAATAACTTCTGTTACTATTCGTTCATTCTGTTTCAGATAAATCTCTACATATTACTTTTTTTTAGTAAAAATGTTTCATTTCTTCTATCGCTTGTTTAATATAATAAATTTAGAAAAAATTTTATATTAAGAAATTAGTCAATTTTTTATTTTTGTTCATATTTTTGTATTTTTGATGATTTCTTTGTTATGGTTGAAGAGAGTATTGTACTGATTGAATTGTGAAAGGATTAGAAGAAACAACAGATGTTGAAGCGATTGATGTTCAAGTAGTTGGATGAAAAAGTGTTGATGTTGTTGCATGTGGATGAAATAATGTGCCAAATTGAGTAACTACTGTTGTCGATTCACATTTTTACTTTCTTTTTTTTCTTCTTTACTACCAAACCATCGACGTCGTAATGATGGTAGAAGAAATAAAAGAATAAATAAAATAATTGTAATTACAAGAACAATACAAAATGCAGCTACAATTCTATTTATTACTATAGAACTTTCAAATGTATGTTGATTAACCATATTAGAATAGATTAAAAGATAAAAGTATAATAATTATTTAAATATATACAGAATATTTATTCTATGACCTATTCGAATATGTCAATTTTTAAAATAATTTAATTGATCTATCGAAGATCTTATTAATTATAACTTTTTTCACACCATTTTGATGATAGTATCGATTTGTAATGTTCAAAAACTTAAGATTAATTCATATGTAAATATCATTATGATGAATATTTACACAAAGAACGATATATAAAAACGAGACATTATAGTTTATTTTTATAAAAATATCTTTTTATCAATATTTTGTAATAGAATATTATATATTTTAAAGATGAAAAATGAAACTAAATCGCATTTAATTATTATAATTATTTTATTGAGCTATATAATATTAAAGAACAATATGAGTACATATGTTTATTAGATTTGAAACTGCATCACATCTTCACTCTGATAAAACTGTGTAAATTAATCACAGTCATATTTGTCAATGAACATAACAACACTTCATAATATCTTGACAATTCAAATATTTGTCAATCAGTTAATTGTACAAGCACAACCATAGAAATTATTAACAAGTGTCAACTATCATAATACACTCATGTTTATCAGTTAAAGAACTTAATATTTGACTAATCATCAAAAAGAGAACAAAGAAAAACACTGTACTTTTGTCGTTTGTAACGATACTAACACAATCTTCTTTTTTTTTGATATATTTATTTATATGTTAATTTCAAAATATTTTATAACACTTTGGAAATAAAACTACTCTTATTTGTCTTCTATTATTTAAAATACGCTATTTCTAACGAATTCATCTCTCTACTTTCTTCATACTTGTTTAAATCTCTTCTCTTTCTTTTCTATTATTCATTATCGTTTTCCTTTTTTTTATATTTTGATTTATCTTTAACTTATCTTTTGCTGATCTTCTTTGATATGTAGCATCTCATTAAATTGTATCATTTATTTCTTCTCACTTACATGTCTTAAATTCCTATACAGATAAGACAATACTTAATTAGATCTTGACAAAAACTACATCCATTAATTTAACAGCATTTTCTTTTCATGTAAAACAATGAAAAAATATCAGACCTTGTTTCTTTCATTATAAATAATTTATTACCATTTGAGTTATTCAAAGTTAAAGTTTTCATCATAGTTACAAACATTTTAGTCAAATTATATTCACTAAATGATTATTTGTTGTTAGAAAAGAAAAACTATTTTCCTGATTTTTTTTGTCAACAATAAGATAATCACGGAATGATAAACAATACATTCTTATTGTAGTAATATCATACTTATCTCAGACTTGTTTTATCATTCAAAAACTTTGTTTAAAAGATCAAAACTAAATTAACATACACGATAGTGTTCACAAAAAAACCGGTTGTTCTTGCTAATAATGTAATTTATCGAAAGTAAAACAGAAAATATACACCATCGTTTGTGTTTTCATCGTACGAATTTTAATTTATAAAAGTCAGTCTATTAAATATTCAGTTGTACATAGGAATGAGAAGTTACTGTTATTTTTCTGTTATAAATAACAATAACTATAACAAAAAAGACTATTGTTACAAATAACAATAACGATTTTTGTTATTTGTTATTTATAAAAATAACCTTTTTACGATAGTTATTTGTTATATATAACAGATAAATAACAAATAACTTTTTTTTCTGAAAATTCAGCTAGCTTCATATCTTGGTTGAACCATATAAATTAGTAGTATAGATAGAACAAATTCGTTCTAAAGTGTAAGTCTACATCACGGACACAATCAAAATATACAAAGAGGTGAGAAAAGATATTTTTAAAAAAAATTATTTGTTATTTATCTGTTATTTAAAACAAATAACAAGAAAAGTTATTGTTATTTATAACAATAACAATAAATTCTCAACCCTAGTTGTACATGCATCAATAACAGACTATCATTGAGAATCCCTGAATTAATACAAACATTCCATAATACTGAGTGAAATACAATCGTTATAAGTTTTCACGACATTAAATAATTACCATTAGAATGTCGTTTTTTGACTTCCAGTGAAGGGCAACATTTCAATTACATTACAAAATGCTTTGTTGATGAATTTTTTCTCCAAAAATAGAAAAAAGCATTTATTGTAATTATAGTATCTTATTTTTCTATTAGTTAGAAAAAAGAAGCTGTCCTAGGAAATAACACGTTGAAATATTTTTTTTAATTTTGTTCAAAGAAATAACTGAAAAACATGGTCGCCTACACCAATCAGAAAAAGTCTTCCTAAAAAAAAATACTGAAACTATTTTTTCTCTCTATTTTTTAAAACTACTCTCTAGTGATCTGTATAAAATGAGTCGCTCTTTACATTGTTGACTGTCAGTTTGAAAGAATACCTTCATTTCAAACAATAACATTTGTTCATGTAATATTTGAACGCAATAGTTATTTTAGAATCTATTATATCTTATCCAAAACTTGGATTTATAAACTAATCAAAGGTAAAGTTTTTGTATATAGATAAAGTTATAAACTATTCTACATTTATCATCTAGATACGATATATGTTTTATTGATATCAAAAATACAGTTTAGGTTTTGTTTAGAAATACTAAAACAATAGTCGCTACTTCTAGCATATTAATATTTATCTCATTATAATTTATTCATCTTCTAGTTACCTTTAGATATAGATCTCAATACTATTCTTGATTATCTGTAAATATGGATGAATGTGAATTTCATTTAATAAAATATAAATGTAGTATTTCCATTTTTATTGTCATATATTCACACTACCCCTTTAAACTTTTCCATAGATACTATAACATCATCATTCCTACATACAAGTAACGCTCGTTCGAGGACTCGCTTAGCTCTGTCTCGTAGAAACCCATTTTCTTCACATTTCCTGGAAAAACAAATAAAAATCGCGAAAAATTGAGTTTTGATGTTTCTTTGACCTGTACCCCTCTTCGCCCCCCCCTTTCCACACGATCACTCAACGAACTCAGATTCAAGCTCCCCGCATTGAAACACATCTAGAAATGTCTTTTTCACAAAAATCAGTTTTCTATGTTTTTTTGACCCTGCGGACACACAAGCAATCAAACAGACAATTTATGTTTACTGGACTCTTCTCTACGAGAAAGAGAATATACTTTACAGAGTGCTACAAGAGTTCATGCTGAAAATCACATACAAAAGAATTCAAAAACACGCTCAAGATGAGTAACCGAGATCAAAGAAGTTGAATCTAGTGCCAATTATTCTAAATTTTTTTACATGAACGATCATTTTCTTAAAAAATATATTTTTTTATACCGGTTGACTCAAGGGTACTCGCAGTCGGACAACACAAATCGGACTTCTTTTCTGCTTAATTACATAAACCAATAGATACCTTATTGTTCAGCAGCGCGATTTCTACGAGAAACAAGTAAGTAAGTCTTTCGATGAGCGTTACTTTTCTATATTACATATAAATGTGTTATATATATATGTATATATATACATTTACGTAATTACCATAAGATTGTAGAAAACAACTTGATAACCTACTAGGGACTAGAAGTAGTATTAGAGTCTACCATGGAGTACTAAAGCCTAGCAATAGTGGTAGGATCTAGTAGGCTGCACCCTGCTCTACTCAGGTGTGGCAGTAGTACTAGGGTCTAGGAACGAGTAGTACGGTCTAGCAAGAAGTACTAAGATCTAGGAAGGAGTACTAAGGTCTAGGAAGGAGTATTAAGGTCTAGCAAGGAGTACTAAGGTCTAAGAAGAAGTACTAGGGTCTAGTAATAGTACTTGAATATAATAATAGTACTAGAATCTAGTAACGAGCACCAGGGTCTATGAAGGAGCACTAGTGTCTAGTAACGAGTACTAGGGTCTAGTTGAGAGTACTAGAGTCTAGTAGGTAGTACTAGGGTCTAGGAAGAAGTACTAGGGTGTGGGTATCGGTGTCGGTGTCGGTGTGGGTGTGGATGTAGGTGCAAGTGTTTCGTTTATTAAAACCCACCCGCACTGAAGCGATTGTTTGCTGATTTTAATTTTTGTAGCAGTTTATCTCAGAAAAAAGCGACGAATTCTTTCACGATTCTCATCAGTCTTTGTAAGGATTTATTTATGGGCCTACTTTTCAGATTACAAATAAAGGTTTCTTTTTCAACTAATCGATC